TCTCTGGGATCACTGATTCACTCGGACACTCTCGCATTGTCCGTCGTACCGGCTAGTCGCACTTCGCTTTGTACTTTTTTATAAAACTTTTTTCTTTGTATTTTCTCTAACACGTGGTACATCACGTTCTGTGAATAAAACTCGTCGCAAGAGATCGAAGTTAAAATAGGAAATTTCTTTCTCCCTACATCACGGGTTCTCATTGGCCTGTTCCTTTGCCCACGGCCCGTTCCTCGCGTTAAGGAAAACGCACCTTAACGTTGTTAGTAATTAGAGAAGGAAATTTCAAACAGTAATATTTACGAAATTCTACTGTCAGCATTAATATTTATCTTGTTTTGATAATACAATCTTCTAAGAAAGAATTTAAACAAACGAATGTGTAATAGGAATACTTATATAGTCAAGGAAAATTCTTAGTTTCATTACTATGGAAGAATTAGAAGAAATAAGTTTTGTAGATGAGGTAACAATCACTTATTTCAATTTGAAATTGTATACACATTTAATTTTAGTATTATATTTATATAAATATAATTATTTTAACCATTCTTCATTGGTATTAATGATTAAATTGTAAATATTTTTTATGCATAGAATACAAATGTACAAAATTGGCATTCCATTACAGACGAACAGAATATTCTGATAAATGCTTGTAAATATGGACATCGTGATGTAATTGAAAAATACCTTAAGGGTAATTACTATATTAAATGAAATTACTGTATATTATAAATAAAATTCTACTGGTTTCTCTGTCCTTTTTATTTTCTTTAAGTGAGTATTAATGAATCTGTTTTCTTTGTTTAAATATATTTAGACAATGATGTAAATACAGTGTTAAGTACCGGTTGGACTCTGCTTTTATATGCTGCATCATTTTGTAATGTTGAATTAGTCAAATATCTTTTGGCATGTAAAGCTGATGTTAAAATAAATAAAGGTATTAAATAATTTTATTCATAAAATTATATACTCTGTTATTTAATCTTTGAAATATAATTTAGATGGATTTACACCCATAATGGCATTATGTAATTCTACAAATGGATCAACAGAAGATTGGTCCATGTGTTTATCTTTATTAATTGAAGCATCAGATTCTGTAGATGCAATTGATAATTTCAGGTAAAGATACTGTACTAAATCTTCTTATAATAATTATAATAATAACAAATAAATATAATACATTATGATATTTTAATAGACGGACACCTTTAATGTTCGCTTGTAGAGTAAGGAATGCAGGAACAATTAATATATTACTAAAGTATGTACAATATATTGATATTCAGGATAATGATGGTTATACCGTAAGTTTTGTAGTAATTATAAATGAAATTAATCATTTTAAGTATCTAATATTAATATATATATATATATATATATATATATGAAATAAATAGTTAAATTAGTATTTTAATATGTTTTATACACTTTCTTTAGGCCTTGATGTACGCTGTATTAAGGGATGATATAGAAATAGTAAAATTACTTCTTCATTATAATGCTAATCCCTTAATTAAAAATAATTATGGTGATACTGCTAAAGAAATAGCAAAAATAAAAGAACACAAGGAGGTATGTTAAATTACGTTAAATTTTGTATTTAACAACTAATTAATTTAGTAAATATTTCAGATTTCTATGTTATTCGAGGAAGATGATTATTTTATAGTTACATATACAACATGCAGAATTAACAAATGGCAAGATTTATTTTTTAAATTGAGTTCTACTGAAGATGATGTTGTTAACATTAATATAGTAAATGTTTTGAATTCAATTGAACTACATTACTATATTAAACATTTTCAAGGAATGGATTTTGAAACATTTTTAAAGTTAACAGAACAAGATCTTATCAATTTAAAAATGAACATTAGTATCCATAGAGATCGAATTTTAAAGTATTTGAATTATTATCATAGTTTACCATGGGATCATGTCATCTTAAAAGATATGATACGTCATTACGAAGAGTATAATTAATATTTATTTAAATTATTAACAATTTAATCGTATCATCTCTTTTACCAAAAAAAAAATTACTTATTTTTCAGACCTAAAGACGCTATTAAAACTATGGCTTTAATGGCACGACAAATTATGATTATGACTTCTACTTTACATTTTATACGATCAAATGTAGATAATGAATATTTTGGTAATATATTTACCTATGATACACAAATATCTGAATATAAAGAAAAAATTAAAAGCATTGAAGAAACTATTGTTAATCTAAAAAATAGACTTCGGCATTTAAAAACTTCTGCAGATAAGGTAAACAAAAAATATATTTTACAATTATACAGTTATAATTAATATAAGACATTTTTTAAATTTTAGATGAACGTAGAAAATTTCTTAAAATTACCTCCCAGTTACATTGGACCAAAAATAGTTAAAAGAAGTTACTTAAAATCTATTATATGGAGCATGCTATTAGTTAATGGAATATATTTTATTAAAGTAAAAATTTGCTTGTAAAGTATTATTGATAATAATCAGGAAAAAAAGTTATCAATACTTATATTATTTTTTTTTTATTACATGTTATTAAAGAGTAGACAATTTAGTTTTTTATACAATATAAATAAGAATCTCTCATATTTTTTTATAAAATTCTATTGTTAATTAACATTTACGTATCACTATAATAAATAATTCATTTTAATTATTATGATCGTATAAGTTAGCTAATTTTGTCATCAATGGATACAAAGGATGGAAAGATGGAATATTATTTTGTTGTATCGTTAACTGATATCGTTCCAATGATCCCTTACTAAGAGCAATTCTATCTTTTTCTTCTGGATGACTATCGATCCATTGAGATAATCTTCCAATAGACCAACCTGCACTCTGTAAATTAAAATATATACATTTATTTTTTTTTGTTTTTTTTTGTTGAAGATTCTTTGTCAATCATTTAAAAAATGAATAATTTACTTGATGTGGAGATAATAATTCAGGTGGTGCACCAGAAAATAAATGTAAAAGAAGAAGTGATGGTGGTACACTATTCTCCGATGGATCTTCTAAAACTTTTTGTACCATATCTTCTGGTTTTTGTAATAGTAATGCTTTTAAAGCTCTTAATCTTCTATACTGTTGTTGTTCTAACAAACTTAACTGTCCTCCACCACATAACGGTGATACAGCAAGCTCCATCTTAATATTAATTAATATGTTTATTACGTGAATAATATTTATAACAATGACATTATTTTAATATACCTGAGTGAAATCCATAATTAATTTTTTTCTTCCAAAATCTGTTAATGGCCTCAGTAAACAAGCATGTCTCATAAATAATTCAATGCATCTTGAAGCTACACTCTTACAACTTAAAAAAGAAAAAAAACCATTAAATTCTAATATTAGAAAATAAAATAAAATATATTATATTAGATAATTATAGAGTAACAAAATCTTACCATTCAGTAACCACTGCTTGATTTTTATAAGGAATAAGGAATGTATTTACAGATCTTAAAATAAAACCTTGTAATTCACGCATGTATAATGAACAAGAAACATCTTTTCCGAGAGGACTGCTAGTGCTGAAAAGAAATGATAAATTTATCTCTAATTAAATATACATACGTGTTTTGTTAGGAAAATAATTTATACTCACTCTCGAAAATCAGGATCATCGTGCATAGTTAAAATAATACTTTCAATTGCATCACTGATAGAAGCTAACAATGGTGACAGTATACTTTTTGTTAATACATCTGATTCTTTAATTGCTGATGAAATAATTGTTGATCCTTCAACTGGTAAACCAGATGATAAGTTGGCAATTACACGATTTATTTGACTAGAAAGATAATGTAATAAATTTGCTAAAGTGACATTGGTCTGTTGTCCAGCTGTAGGTGAATCTATAACTTGGCTTGCTTCTCCACCTGTTACCAATCCCTGTTCACATTTTAAGCAAAACAAACGTATAGATTTGCTTACATTACGTGCAACCACAATGGATAAACCATCATCCACAAGTGAAACACTGAGTTCACTAAAAAGAAACAAGTTATTTAGTATACTTATTGTTACAAAATAAAAATGCATAATATTAAAATTATACATACTTTGTTACAGTACGAATTAAAGTATCAATTTCATCTTGGCTTGGTAAATTAGTTCCACAGAACATAGTATGTACAGGATCCAAAAGACGAGATACAGAACGAGAAAGATATGCATTTTCAAACGATGACAAAACATTACGGCTAAATAAAAAATTAATTATTTATAACATATATTATAAAAGAAACATTTAACTTTATCTCAGATTAGAATAATTGTTCACAGTTACGTACTTAATGTTATAGGTACCAAAACTTTGCGATCTATCCTTCAAACGTTTACTCAAATCTAAAAATAATCGCAAAAATTTTGGATATTCTCCTTCCAAGGCTTGTTTTACAAGCGATGATCCTAGAAAATTTTAATATAATTATTACATTGTTTAAATACGAATAAAAAACAATAGAAAATTTTACCTTGTGAACGTGAAATAAGTACTTCGCTCAATAGTTGATTAACTTTCGTCCAAAATGTTTCAGATAAATCATTATATTCTTTTGCATGATTTTCCAATAATGTTTTTTGCAATAATTCAATCTACATGAACAATTAATTGCTTCAATATGAATATATATTTATATATATATATATATGCATATGTACTATTAAATCTAATAAAATTATCCTTTACTTGTATACACTGCGAATACAAAGCATCTTGAAAAAGTCTTTCAAGATTTTCCCAAATACGGGTACGTAAATTTCCTGATGTTCCTGGTGTAGGTGTTGAAGCACGACCTGGTGCTACTTTTTTCATAATATCTTGACTTTTAGATAAAAGAACATCGAAAGATTCAATCGTATTTTTCTTGATATTAGCTAAATTATTTGCAATAGTTATTTCTATTGCTTCATTTACAATTCCTAAGTTTTGAAATACTTGTATAGCTGTACTGACCTGTACATTACAAATATTACAGTCAATTTTAATCTATAAAATAAAATTATATAAGATTTATTTTTTTTTTAAATTAACATACCTTAACTCTATCCATTGCTTGTAAACCTTGAGTTAATGTATGAGTAGCAACTCTTTTTACAACTGCTCTATGAGCTTTAACAGCTTGTTGATCATCAGCAATTATATCTAGGCCATTTAAATCTGTATCCGACATTAATTGTTCTACACATAAATTTATATAGAATTAATATATCTGCATATATATTTTATTTTTATACAAAAAAAAAATTCAAACAAATGATTTGGCATAATAATTACCAAGTTCGTGTAAATTGTTAGCTACTTTTATTATATCTGGGCCTTGAATAACATTAGTCATTTGTGAACCTAATCGTTTAGATAAATGTTGCATTCTTGCTACTCTTCGCAGAAGATCAGATGTTTCATGAAGACGTGATAATACTACAGCTTGAGTTTCAATTCTATTAAATGGTTCCACTATTTTCCCACGTAAACGTTCTACGGCTAGTAACAAATTCTGGAAAAGATTAATATTTCATTTAACAAGAAATATAATATTTTTAAATCTCGTTTAACAATGATTGTATTATTTTATATTGAAATGATTGTATTTACTTGTACATGAGTTTGCATTATTGAAAGTACATCTTCCAACTTTTCAACCCATGTTGCTTGAGATAACAAATCTTCATAATTTGCAAGTACTTGGTTTTGTAATTCAGAACGTAAAACCTCGATAGCTAACAAATATAAAAATAAGAATATATAATAAAAGTTATTTGTTTGATTATAAAAACAATTTTATTTAAATGAAATAAAGTAAAACTTTACCTTGGCCCAATTTATTTAATTGTTGAACTACTGACAATACTTTATCAATCTCTGTATTCTTTAAATCACCATTCAAGAATTGTTTAAAGAATTCTAAAAATGAAGTAAACAAATATGTTGGGTTATAAAAATGTAAATAGTTCAAAAGATTATAAAAATACTTAACACAACTTACCGTCATTTTCTATAACTTCTAATGTTAATACTTCACTCATTTTAAATCACTTTTAAAAATATGTCAACAAAAACAAATGACTTTTAATTTGATAATATTATTACTCAGTACATATTAAAATTTACATTAAGTTCCACGTAGAATAAATTGATAATACAATAGACTGATGGAAGTTTAATTCTAGGATATTAGACATTTGACGCATGTGCGAAATTGTGTTAAATATGGCGGATGAAAATACCGCCAAAATCTACAATCTGATTATTTAAGTTCTTCCGTGTTTCTTTTTTCTTTGCAAGAACAATGTAACATTATATTAAAAGTGAAAGACTGTATAAAACTTTAAAATTGTACAAATAAAATTTATATTTTTAATATATATAGGTATATATATATATATATATAAAGTAATTTATATACACTTCAAATTTATATAAACTGTATAAAAATAACATGTCATCTTTTGTATATCTTTTGTATTCACATTTTAAACGTTATTAATTATTTTTGTATTAAATGTATTCTTACTGTAATATTTCTTTTTAGAAAATGGATTTGGATGTAACCTTCAATTGTTGTGGAAGAGTAAATTTGAATGATTGGCAATTAAGTAAAACAAGTCTACTGTTAAATGGAGAAATAGACAATGTATTTTTTCCATCAGAAGAATATCATTTTCAAGATACGCATATAGAACTTTTTGATAATGTTGTACCTGCAAATACTGTTATTTTAAATATAAATCATTTTGTAAAATGCATGGAGTAAGATATTAAATCAAAGTATTATCTTATTTATATTTATTTTGTTTATCTTATTGTATAATAATAAAATGATCATTTTATTTTTATAGAATGCAGTTAAAGATATTCAAAAGGTATGAAGATTATGGTCATAATTTAAATACAAATAATCGTATAAATTTCTTTTCTATACGAAGAACAATATGTCGACTTATTTCATATTTGCGTGTGTACATGAACAGGTACGTTTTTCTTATAAATCAATGTTTTTCTTTTTTGCTTATCAATTTCCTTTTCGTTACAGTATAAAGTGGGATTATTGTAAATTAAGAATTATAAATCCTACTATTGAAGAAGATTTTGATACATTATTTTCAACCATAAAAAGATTTCTCAGCAGATTAAGAAATATTCCAGAATCTATATTTCATTATGCAGCATCCAATTTAGGCAATAAAGTAATTATTTAGAATATGTAATTATATGTGGTACAAGACAACATGGTGTGATTCTGTATAAAAAATTAAATATTAAATGAATACAATTTGTTATAAGCTCAGTCAAGTGCATATACATTCAACAAATGTTCAAACATATTTTTCATGTAGAATAAAATCATCTATTAATCATTTATATCATCGGTTACAGGACCATCTGTATATTTACTAATATAATATTTTATTTTAGTGCGTGCAACCAGAATTTCATTTGTACCATCTCCATTTAGATTTAAGATGGTTGTATATAACATTAATATACATGCGTAATGTACATTGGCAATATTCTGAAGAAGTTGGTATGGATGATATTGAAAATGTTTATAAATTAATTATCAGCGATCTTATTTATATTTCATGTAAAATATTCGAAAGGGTAAGAGGATTAATATTAGAAATTTACAAAAGATTAACTTTTCATTAGCGTATACACTATTTATATATTTTTTTTAGATTCCTTTAACAGATCTACGTCAAAAAACACCATACAGTTGTACTTGTATGCGAGAGCTATGGCTTATGCTTCAGATTTTTGTTGATGAATTAGCAAATAGAATACAGATTGCAGTAATTATTTATCTTTATCACACTGTAATAAGATATTACAAATTTATTCTTATTTATTAATATATCAACTTGTTTATGTGATTTTAGTCATTTTGGGATCATATAAATTTTTGTATAAATGCTATGTTAGATGAAAACAAACATCAGAACAATTGGATCTATTGGTATAAAGGGACGGAATGTTCTTTATTTACTTGTAAAAATCCTGAATTATTTTGTATTTGGATTATATATCATTTTACTCTTTTGTATGGATATAATAATGAAGGGATATATTTGCATACTAATTGTTCCAGGGTAATGTATAACATAAATTTCTAAATATATATCAAATATTTGAATATTATTTATTATTTATCATTACATTTTTTTTTACAGATTCGTTCGAATTACGAACAAGCTGAGAAAATTTTGAAAGCATATGTTTCCAAAGGTGGAAAAGATGGCGAAAGGGATGAAATAGATGAAGAATTACAAGTAATAATACCATTATTACGTATTCTAATTACAGATTGGTGGCCTTCACGAATTCCAATAGTTACTCTTTTATGGGATTGTTTTCATAAAAGATTAGATCAACCTTTTTTATTACAAACATCTGGCCCTTGGGCTTTATCCCTTGAAAAGTAGGTCACTCATTTTTTTATAATACATTTTATTATTATATTTGATTTATTTTGTTCTTTACAAATTTAGAATATTTGTTTTTTTTATAGAAAAACTCCTATGGATATATTTAAACATATTAAGGACAGAATTGATGGAAATTTTGAACAAGTGAAAGAATCAAGTTATGGGATGTTTCTAAGATTGTTAGGTAAGAAATATTCAATATAATAATCATATATATCTATATATAATTCTATTAAGAAAATATAAAGTTTTCTTGTAGGTTCCTTCTTAAAAAAAAATTATGGTAGTAATGATACAAAATATTGGAATCAAATCAAGGGTCGTGTATATTCCAAATTTTCTAAGGGTAAAGTTCAAGAATTTTCTGAAACAGGTTTATACAATTTTATTTCCTTGTTTCTTACCTTAGCTGTTACTGCAGATACTCTTAATGTAGTAAGTTTCAAATAATAATATATAATAATAATAATAATAATTATTATTATTATATCTAATTATTGTATAATTTTTTACAGTCTACAGTAATGCTTGATCTTTTACCATCAATGCAAAATTTCAATCATGAAAATGCCAGGAAGTATAATTTAATTTGGAAAGGAAAATTAGTTATTTTACTATTATTTCATGAACTTAAACTGAATTATTCCCATATAATGAATAACATCACAGAAACGGTAATTAATTTCTAAATTGTTTATAATATTCATTACTTGTTTTATTGATTTATTTTTATAATAATAGGTAAATATCATAAGCTGTCATAAAGATGAAACGTCCCGTTCCATGATGATAAATTTTGTTGATATATTGAATATTATCTTTTCATCTGATACTAAATTAGAATTAGGTGAACATTTATTCATTGGTGGTTGGATTGATCGCTATTTATTAGAATGTTCCAGATATAGAGTACATTCTGTTATCAAAATTCTTATTTGCATTTTCGATAAATGCAATTATTTGAAAATGATTAATAGTAATTTAGGTATTATCTTTTTGTATCATTATGTTTTAATTATATTATAATATATATATTAATTAATAGAAATTTATTTACAGAACATGTTTCTAAAATGTTGGATGCTTTGTGGTCTAATGTTGCTTGTAGAGTACGACAACTTGCTTTTGATCCATTACTTATTGAAGATCATTATCATGATCTCGCAAAACTTGCAGTTGCTTTTACATTAAATGCACTTAAAGAACCAGTAATAGCGAAAAAATACAAACATTCTGCGGTATCCTTGTTTCAACATTTTGCAACATCTTTAATCATAAAAGATATAAGGTAATGTTATTTTTTCTTTGTATTCATCTATAAATTATTATTATATAATATAATATATATTTTAGATATAAATATTAAATTTGTATAAATATGTTTTTTGTTTAGAATCACACGATATTATTTAATGATAATACTTCAAGAAGAAGAAAATATATACAATTTGAAAAAAGAACTTAAAAATCTTGATCTCATGCTTATACAAGTTAGTATATATATATATATAATTTTATTTAATATTATTTATAACTAAAATAATATATATTTTAAATATATTTCAAAATTAATTTGTATACTTTAGGCATGGATCAAATGTTCTATTTTGGGATATGATGAAAATTGGACAGAAATAGAAATTTTACAAAATTACGTATCTCAATTAAATGAAATTAAAGAAATTTTTCTTACTAATCAAGATTTTAATGAATTCAAAAATAACAAAGAAGCTATATTAATATTTATAATGTCTGCTATGAGAAAACGTAAATCTCTTAAGGTAATGTTATATATATATATTGTAAGTTTTATATTAATATTAATAATTATGTATTATTCTAACTACAAAAGTATTATATATATACCTTAATATTTTAGAATGAACATGAAAAAAATCAGTTTGACATAAGATACAGATTATATTTCAATAATTTAGATAAATGGATACTTTCATCTATAACAGAAGAAACTCAAGAAACAGAACTTGCTTATTGGATTTATAGATGTGCAGGAACATTAATTCTATGTTCTGCTCCTATGTTTTATGCGAAAGTATAAAAATATGTTTAACAAGATTTTTTTTATTGATACTAATTCATTTGTAAATTAATGAATATTATGTTTTTATATAGAATCAGGCAAACAGTATGTTGAAGGTTTTATTACATAAAATTGCCCTTCCAACAGAACAATCTTCTCAGGGTTACATCAAGAACTTGTGTAAAAGAATATTTTCCATGATAATCCTTGGATTAGAATCTTTGAATATTAAAAGTGATATTTCGTTACAAGTATTAAATAGAAGTTTATTTGATCAATACATTCCAATTTTAATAACACAGGATACTAGTGGAAATTATAAAGTATCCGATACTTTACTTAAGTGTTTCCAGGATGCAAAAGCTGATTTTTCGTGTCTTATATTTGAAATGCTTATGACATTGTTTTTTACAATTTCATCTGAAAATAATTTACATAAGCATAATCATTTGGTATGTTGTATATATTTTAATTTCTAATAGATTATTCGTTAAATTATTTATAATTATTCAATTTATAGGTATTATTACTATTGAAAACTTTATTAAAAGGAGATAAAACGTATGCAATTAACATAACAGAACAAATTATAACAATTTGTGTACCCCATGTCGTTACCTCTTATTTAAAAGTCCACGATTATCCACATAAACATCTTGCTATTGATTTTATGAATAGTATTTTTACAAATTGTTATTACAGAGAGAATGTTTTTATAAGGTATGAGTCTGTTGTTTAATTTTATAGTTAAGTTATATTAAATAAAATAAACTCATATTTTTGATATATTTATTTACAGAGAAAAATTGACGAACACTTTATCTGATATTCTACAGAGGTATCTTACAATATATCCTCAGTCTTTGTTTGAATTTATGCGTTCAATTACACCTTTAAGGATTGATGCAATCAAAATCTTATTTCCACAAATAGAATCCATTGTAGTTGATCTTGAAAAATATAGACGTCCTAATGCTGCATCTTTAAGGTAAAAATTGTTATCATATTTTTCTTTTAATATATTGTAATACGATTTTTATATTTCAGTATATTTATTTTTGTTCTCTATTAAATGTATTTTTTTTTTCTTTTTTTTTCATTTTTGACTTAGGTATACATTCAACCAATTTCAAAATTTCGTACGGAACATGGTAAATAAGCAATAATAATGTTGAAAATTTATTAATAAATACTAAATAGTACAATTAGAACTATTTCAATTTTGTACGAATTTTAAAGATGGATTATTCTAATATTTTGTTTTCTCTCTTTTTTTTATTATTAAAAATAAGATAAATCTATATAATAACTTATAATTTTATATAAAGTAATTATTTTACTTTAAAACAATGTGAACAACTTAGAACAATTTGAATATAATAAGTTTAAATATATCAGCAATATAAAAACAGCCTAAAGAGAGATAAATGACCATTCGTAAGATTCCATAATAATAAAAGAACTACAAGTACCGAAACAATTCCTCTTATATAATATACAATAATTGCATTGTACATATAAATAAACTTTAAGGTATAACTATTTTATTAACTAAAATATAATATTATGTACTTATATTATTCTTCCAACTATTTTCGATGCGAATGTCTTGAACGATGGTGTTTTAATGATGTAGTTGTAACGCGGGAGGGCGATCGTCATCCAATTAATTCTAATCGAGAGACAGCGTTACGAACAGCATTACGCAATGCTTGTTCTGTATTACTACTTAACAATGTTTCAAGCCTTTCAACATAATTATCAATATTTTGTAACGTTGCACCTTCGTGTGTACCTGGAAAATGTATGCAATATAACAAAGTTTTTATTAATCATGTTAAATATATTTTTGTATATATCACAAATGAAATGATTTAAAGAAATAACAACCTGGTAAAGGAATAGCTGCAAAACAGCCTGCCAATTGTGCACGTAAAGATTCTAGATGACGTTGTAATGCTTGATTTGTTGTACGTTGTTGATTAGTCTCAGATTCTAAACGATTTACAGCTGAACATAAACTATCAACGTGTCGTTGAAGTACAGCATTTTGTGCTTCGTAATCTGATGTAGCTTTTCGTAATTGTCTTAATTCACCTTCACATGCTAATTAATAATAAAAAAAAAAAATATTAATGTGTATGTAATACAGATGATACAGTCAAATAAGTATATAATTAAATTTATGATCTTTACCTTTATTGTGATCTAAAAATTCTTCTGTAAAAATGGGAATATCAAAACCTGTGAAATTATTGTCCTTGTCTTGTTGCACATCCTAAATAATAATACTTTTTAAAATCTTATTGCTATTTTTTGGACGTATCTGTACATCAATGTAATATATAAAATTGAAAATAAGTGCATATAATACTCACGGTTTGTTCTGTATTTATATCTGTTCCGTTTCGTTCTTTTTTCTCTGTATGTTTTTCTGAAGACTGTTTTTCACTAAAAATACGATACGCTTCAGTTTGTTTATAATCGCTAAATTCACGATTGTAACGTTCCTTATCTTGTTCAGCAGCATCTAAGTATTGCTGTAAACAAAATTCTGTTAGGAAAATGATTTTGGATCTATTTATTAATTTAATCCTTTCAATATTAATAACTACTTTGTTCTATTTCCATTCCTAGTTCAATTGTCTGTACAATGGAAGCATACTAATTAAAAATAAAGCTGTATCGAAAACATTAAAGAATAATGTTCAAACCTGTTTTTGATCAGCGGGTAATGTACTCCATTCTGAAGCAAGAAGTTTTGTGATTTCAGCAAAAGACAAAGTTGGATTGTCTCCTCTAACTTTTTCCCTCCGATCATTTAAAAATCTATATAAGAAGATAGTATTAAGGTAAATGATATTTTTGAAAAGCAATTGATTAAGATTATAATTACCTGAAGTAGCCAGTAAGAGGTTGTTTTGGAGCTGTAGCATCTCTTGGAGCTCTTTTACGTTTTTTCCCCCTATTAGTAACATTAACATTACTGTTTCCAGTACCTATAATGGCAGTATTTTTTTTAATTCCATTGTCACATAACGAATCAGGTGCTTTATCTTCTGCACTTCCTGGTGATTTGTCTGATGAAAATGACAATTCAATAGGTAAATTCATTTATCTTAACAAATATATAAGTTATTAAATGTAATTAATAGGAAATTACTAGGATGTTCTTCAGTTTCTCCATTGTAAGCCGGTTGTTGTTCTGTTCCACCATTACTTTCGGAAATTTCATTAGTTACAATTGTTTCACTCATTTTATTGAAAATATCCTCTCATAGATGATAAATTGTTGATATATGTTTTATTGGCTCTCCTTTTTGTCTTGACCAATATTGTTTAATTCAAACTGTTTTGACATTGCCGTAATAGAAAAATAGTAAATAGAGTTTAATTGTTCAATAGACATATGTACACATGTACACATGAATATACAAGCATAGAATAAAAGTAATGCATGCATGTGTGGTTAATAACCCCATGTCACACGCTATTTTAAAATAACTCGATATACAAACCATTTATTAGGTTATGCCATGGAAACATGTATCGTTTCATTAATTAGTAATATTCCCGCGTAAAATAATATTTAAAAGTAAAGAATCTTTTAACAATTGTGGCGAATAATATATAATATATAATCCTAAATAATGTTTACATTTAAAACTAAAACTCTTTAGGGACGTTTATACTGATCATATCGCGTTAAAATAGTCGCGCCGCGTCATTATTCATTCAATATAGTGTAGCCAACATTCTAACATGATTCTAACATATTATCGAAAGTACATCATAAAAGAAGTCTAGATAGCATAGTCGATTATGAACCATGTAAGAAAGAGTATTTAAAAACGGAAGTTAAAATTAAATTCAATTGCACCAAAAGAACTCGTGGCTCTCGTGTCGCACATGGCGCTTGCGTCGCATATGGCGCTTGCATCGCACATGGCACATGTGAAATTATATTCGCTGTATATTCAAATTTTATAATATATTTATTTCTTTATGACATTTTGTTAATAACAATTAATATTTTAATTATTCACTATTCTATATTTGAATCATTAAATCCTCGCTTTATTTTTTCAATCGTAAATTCAAAATTTGTCACTATGATTAATACGACGGACAAAATATGAACTACAAATATTACGTTTAACAATAATCCAATGGAGTGTTACTTCCAATTTAATTGTTCATTGACTGAGTGCCATTACACAAGAAAGGTGAAATAAACGTGTGTGAAACAATATTATTTTTGTATACGAAAGACTTTATTAGATTTATGTAAATGTAAAAAGTTGTAACAAATTAATACAGGTACATAAATATAATCAGAAATTAATTAATTTTAACATATTATTGATACATTACATAGAAGTAAGTGAATATCTTCTATGTAACAAACCGAACATTAAGGCCGGGTTAAATGGTGCTTTATTTTTTCTTCTTATATGTGCATTTCGACAATTCATTGACTGAAGTTTGTACATTTTTTTTTACATTGCTAAAGTAATGAAGCATTGTGTTAACAGTTTGTAGACAATTTTTCTCATAATTTATTCTAATATTGTTATTATGTTTCTTCAAAAATATCACATACACGATCACAGAAATGAGTTTGTTTGTTTACATTTTTTTATTTTTATTTTTTCAAAAAATTTTATCAAACATGAATTAATTAATTGCTGACGACTTTTAAATGGAGGATTTTATTTAACAAAAAATCTGACAAGTACGAATGCGTGTCCATGTTATACGTTTGAAATATAATAATATCATTTAAAACAAATATAACTGTTTTTTCTTTTCACCAATTATTTTCGTAAATAAACTGTTTTTTTGATAGAATTTTTTTCCAAAATAAGAAAATAAAACAGATTTGTCATAACAATGGTGTTTTGAGAAGCCATTTTCTTATTATATCGATATATTGATATAAACATAAGATATCAAAAAAATGGCTTCTATAATGTTTTGAAAAATATATCGATTGAAAATTACATTCAAATAAGCGTTGTCGTCACTTCCGCTTCCATTAATTATCTTTCTCTTTTTCTCTCATATCTATTGCACTTCTGTTCATATCTTATTTATTTATATATATGTATTATTGGATTTGTTAGTATTACAGTCATACCAATTTGTAGACACCAAACAATTATTTCTAACGGTTATAATTTATTTTTCAGTGTTGCCAACAACGTTTCTATGAAATAAAGATTTGATCAAAGACGAGCTAAGTGGAACGATTTATTAAAGAATTAAAATAATATTTAAATGTGATTAATTGACAAAAGTTATCTTTGATTAAATGTTATAACAAGTGAAGAATTTTATTGTGAATACTGTGCCATTTAAGGAATACTTCGTTATCATGAAAGGTTAATTTCAATTATTAATTGTGATTATATTAAATTTCTAATTATAAATAATGCTACATTTTTTTTCTATGATTCAATTTTTATTTAATTTAGAACAAAAATATTTACAAAAGAAAAAAAATTTATGTGCATACTATACTCGTATCACAATATATATCATTTTGAGGTTAGAATCGAGAGAAATTGATTAATTGAAATATATATATATGTTTTATTTTAAAGTATAACAATTTTATTTACAATTAAAGATAATTTTTTCTATGTTATTATAAAAATATATTGTAATTTATAGTTTTATCTACAATATTTTGATAATTTATAAATCTTTTTCATTTATAAAGTTAACGCTGTTTTTGTTATACGTCCTAGCTTTTCACATTATATTATTAGAAAATGTTGCAGTTTTATTTTTGATTATTAAGAGAACATTTATTGCTTTGTTAGGAGATAATAAAAAGAGTCATAGAACAATATTAATTTGGGATCTTAAAGAAATAGGTTAAAAAGGTCGCGAAGGGGTTGCGTTCAGGGGTGGGAACACTGGCAGGATTTTGTATTCGTGGCAATGAACTTTCGAGTTATTAATGCCAATTAATAATAATAATAATAATAATAATAATAATAGGAGAATATTTATTGAAGTAAGTTGTAAAAATGTTTAATTTATTTTATTTTAGATAAAAAGAAAAGTCGAAATAAAAATAAAATGAAAAGAAGTACTAAAAGCAGACGTACAGTGAGAAGTACCAGAAACAAACGTCCAGTAAAATGTAAAAGACTTGGATTAAACACTGTGAAACATTGCACTGATACAGAAAATAATAGATTATATAAAAAAGTAGATAGTCATACTATTAAAATTCCGTGTAAACAAGTTTTTGTAGTTATTGAAAATTTATCTTCCAAAATAATTGACAAATATGTAAGGAATAGTAAAAATCAATCTAAACAGGAAATAAGTGAAACAGGAGACATCCAATTACAAAATTCGAAACAACCCAGTATATCAGAAAAGCTTCCAACTGAAAAGAAACAACCGAACGATAATGTTAGTTATATTTTTGATAATAACACACGCACACACAGTGATGTTAATAATACTACTGTAAATTTGACTAATACTATTAATATTAAGGATAAGCTAAAGAGAAAAAGAATGCACGCTGATTTCAAAATGGCAGAAATGGAAATTGAAGAAAATATATGTGTAAGAGAAGTTAAAAAAAGATGTGCATTATCTATAAAACGTATTTATGAAGAAAGTAGAAGAACAAAGAGAATGTCTGAATTAAGCTGTGGAAGTATTGAACAAACTACCGTTTTAAACAATTTGAATTCAACTGATAATAAAATTACAAGGAATAACTCAAATCTTTACGCTCAGAATACGAACATAGCTGATGCTAAAGTCATATTAACTAGATTAGAAAATATGCATAATACTTATGTTACCAATTGGAAGAATAAATGTGCACAACAAGCTCTTTTGTCTACAAATTTAGAGTCTACTATCTCACATGAAGATATCTCTATAAATACATTACCTATAGAAACTATAGATAATTATCACAGAAACGATATAGAAGATAGTGATAATTATATGAATGAAGAAAATGATTTAAATATATGTACTTTACAATCGAAATGTGAACAACATTTAATACCCAAAGTGCACTTAATGAAATTAAAAACCTTAGAAAATGTGTATAAAATACCAAATTCATTTTCAAAAATAATTAGTTCAACAGCAGAGAACTTTGATAACTTTGAATTGAAGGTTAATCATTCCAGTAATGTATTTAATCGTGATAACGAAGTTAACTTTGACTCATTGAATATACAGTCCGAGGAAAACCAATTGTGTGCATTTGAGATAACTGGTACATGTTTTGAATCAATAGAAAGATTAGAGAATCCAGAAATACATAAACCATTAATATGTGAAGAGGAAAAAAGGCCTACTTTACCAGAAAATGTCTCTATCGATAGGTCAATATGTACAGCAAATGTACAAAAATGTTTAGAAAGAAGTTCAGAAAAATCTACAAAAGAAGTTATTTCAGATGAGATGTCAGAAATAAATTCAGAATTAAAGAAAATTGAAACATCACCATCGATTATTACAGAACAGAATACTTCTTTAAATGCAAATAATGTGATACCTAAAAATGAAATTATTTATGAAGATTTACAAATTCCACAGAGTAAGGAAATAACGATTATTGATAATAACGAAGAGACTATAATCATTGATAATAAAGAAAAGCTTGTAATAATTAATATGCATCAAGAATTAAATAATAAAAAAAATTCCTATAGTGATGAAATAAAAGAAGAAAATAGTATTGCAAAGTTACCAGAAAATGTACATACAAACCAACAAGAAACACAACGTATTATACATTGTAAATGTTTTTCTTGCATGTCATTGATTGTTAATGAGAATATTCAGGAGGTTTCAAACTATAATAAGACACAAAAATCGAATTTGCAAGAAAAATCTTACGATCTTGATAATAATAGTACAGAATCATTAACGTCTGTAAATATTTCTTCATTATCATCTACTATTTCTAAAGATAACATGAATAAACGTTGTCATGAAAATGAAAACAAAGACAAAGACGAACTTTCATGTAATAAAATATTTAAAAATAATCATAACAATTTAAAATGTAATATTTGTTCAAAAGTATTTGATTCAGAGATAAATCTCTTAAATCATTTATATATTCATACTAATCAAAAACAGTTGCAAATAAAATATGAAGGAAATAACAAAAATCAGAATTGCAATAACATAAATGTTAGTAGTCGTGATGATGAAACTGATTTAATTGTTTTAAATGAAGAAATCGAAACTGGAAATAATATGACAGTCGAATCATTGTACCCTTACAATGCAAACTATGAAAGTATGACCAATGAAATAACTTCAAGATTACAACAAAATATATCAGAAAAAAATGATTTGAAAATATCAACTATAGAACCCGATAAAGAAGATAAATTAATTAAAAATTCAATAGTTGATGAAAAATTATCATTTAAATATTGTACGTGTCATGAAAAAGAATTTGAAAAGGTAACATCCATGGTATTAGTTTTATATTGCAATATATGCAATGTTTTATATCATAATATAGATTGTTTTAAGACCCATTTGAATGAAAAATTATATACGTGTAACGATAAAAAACTAACAACAAAAATGTCGAAACTGTACTGCAACATTTGTAAAACAATGTTATCTGATTTCCAAGAAATGCGTAAACATATGGAATATCATTTAATACATTTTAAAAGTATCAAATTATTTTGTCATATTTGTAAGATACGTTTTATCGGCATGGGTCGATTATTTTTTCAACATTGGTTACATCACGAAGTAGATATTTTTTATAAAGCTTCAATTTCTGAATTTCCAACAATAGCAATAGTGAAGACTGTTACAAAAGAATGGTCAATTATTACTTCAGATGAATTCAAATATCTTATTATAACGGAACATGTTTGTAATAATTGTAAAGTGCAGTGTTTTTCAACGAATGAATTGAAAAAACATTTATTGTTTTGTCAAAAAAAGGGCAAGTTAATTAATATAAGGCTTTTAAAACATCACAGAGATTCAGTGATAGCAGATGTTCAGTCGGAATTGGATGTTCCTACGAAAATTGATAAAATTTCAGTTTCAAACAAATCATATAATTTTACTTGTAAAATTTGTTCGGATACTTTCGAAAATTTAAGGAAATTAGTAATTCATTTAGAAAATTATCATGGATCTTTTGTAAATTTTACATGTAATCAGTGTGAACAAAGATATAACGATTTAATAAAATACCTAGGACATTTAGATAATTGCATTAAAGCAGATGATACCATTAAAAATACTTATCACGAGAAAAAATTTGTTTGTAAGATTTGTAATATAATTTTTGACTCAAGAAGAGGTTTGCACCTACATAATACGCTCTTCAAAAACAAGGTACTACATTTGTCTACAACTGAACAAATTAAAGAAGATGATAGTGTTGGTCCTATAAATGAGAGTATATCTGAAGTGCCTAAAACTCCAAATTCTGTAGTTAAACAGTTAATTGATACACCAACAAATTTATCTTTTGAAAAACCTCGAGTAAATACTTATAAAGTAAATAATGATTCCGATAAGAACGATAAAGAAAAAGATCTAAATGGCAAAAGAACAACAGTTATAATTCAATTAACTAATTCAAAACAGAAGTCTGTACTTGATAAAAATACTGAATCATCCAAAATTATTAATATAACAGAAAAAAATGATGAAGTTACATTGATAGAATCTGAAATCCTACAAGAAAATCAGAAAAAATCCAATAGAAAAAGTAATAAAAATACATCGAGTGAACCTAAACTCTCACAAGAAAATCAGAAAAAATCTAACAAAAAAAATGATGAAATTACATTGATCGAACCTGAAATCCCACAAAAAAATCAGAAAGAATCGTACGAAAATAATGATGAAGTTACATTGATAGAATCTGAAATCCTAAGAGAAAATCAGAAAAAATCCAATAGAAAAAGTAATAAAAATACATCGAGTGAACCTAAACTCTCACAAGAAAATCAGAAAAAATCTAACAAAAAAAATGATGAAATTCCATTGATCGAACCTGAAATTCCACAAAATAATCAGAAAGATTCGCACGAAAACTCATGGGAAGACGTAGAAGAAACGTCGAATGACCTATTAAATTATTCAACTCCTTCATCAAGTAAACATTTAGCAAAAGATCTGTTAAATTATTCTACTTCTCCATCAAATAAAGATTTAGCAAATGCTAACAAATTTTTACGGGTAAGGAATATCTTAGAGTTGGTAGAACAACCATCAAAATATAGCAATTATTTCATTGAACTAAATAGAAGTACCGACACTTCAAAGTCTTCATCTATAGCTAGAAACTCGTCACTTCAAAAATATACTGGGAAAGTAAAGGCTTCTACTTTATCATCAGAAACAGCAAGACAACTAGCAGCAAGAGCACCAAAACCACCATCAATAGAACCAAGCAGAGTATTACCGCGAAAAATACCCTCAAAAGCAGGAAAACTACCATCAACAGCATCAAAACTAGTATCAATACTACCAAAACCACCATCAACAGCACCAAAATTACCATCAACAGTATCAAAACCACCATTAACAGCACCAAAATTACCATCAACAGCATCAAAACCACCATTAACAGCACCAAAACAACCATTAACAGCACCAGAACTAACATCAACAACACCAATACTAGTACCAGTAGCACAAAAACTACCATCAACAGCACCAAAACCACCATCAACAGTATCAACACTAGTATCAATAGCACCAAAACCACCATCAACAGCACCAAAACTATCATCAACAGCATCAAAACCACCATTAACAGCACCAAAACTACCATCAACAGCACCAAAAACACTATTAACAAAACCAGTACTAATACCAATAGCACGAAAACTACCATCAATAGCACTAAAACCACCATCAACAGCATCAACACTACCATCAATAGCACCAAAACCACCATCAACAGCATCAAGACTAGTATCAACAGCACCAAAACCACTATCAACAGCATCAATACTAGTATCAATAGCACCAACACTACCATCAACAGCACCAAAACCACAATCAACAGCATCAACACTAGTATCAATAGCACCAAAACCACCATTACCAGCACCAATAATAGTACCAACAACAACAATACCAATACAAGAAACAAGGCAAATACCAGTACAACAAGTAGCAACAATAGTAGAGCCACAACCAATAGAAATACAAAATATGCTATTACCAGAAATAACAATAATCCAAAAAAATAAATTTGAAAAACCAGTATCAATAGGAGCACCACAATCAGGGCAAACATCTCTACCAATGCAAACAGTACCTTGTAGAGAACCTTGCTCAACTCAACCAAAAATTTCTAATATTCAAAATCAAAGTATAAGGTCGGTTGAAAATGAGTATTTAATGAATCATAAATCTGCTGCAACGAACAACTTTAGAATAAATATTGAAAACCCAGTATCAATAGGAGCACCACAATCAGGACAAACATCTCTACCAATGCAAACAGTACCTTGTAGAGAACCTTGCTCAACTCAACCAAAAATTTCTAATATTCAAAATCAAAGTATAAGGTCGGTTGAAAATGAGTATTTAATGAATCATAAATCTGCTGCAACGAACAACTTTGGAATAAATATTGGAAAATCAGTATTAAAAGGAGCACCACAATCAGGAAAAACATCTCTACCAATGCAAACAGTACCTTGTAGAGAACCTTGTTTAACTCAACCAAAAATTTCTAATATTCAAAATCGAAATATAAGGCCGGTTGAAAATGACTATTTAATGAATTATAAATCTGCTGCAACGAACAACTTTGGAATAAATATTGAAAAACCAGTATCAATAGGAGCACCACAATCAGGACAAACACCACTACCAATGCAAACAGTACCTTGTAAAGAACCTTGCTCAACTCAACCAAAAGTTTCTTATATTCAAAATCGAAGTAGAAGGCTAGTTGAAAATGACTATTTAGTGAATCATAAATCTGCTGCAACGAACAACTTTGGAGTAAATATTGAACAGCAGTCGCAAAATATAATGATTGATAGTGGATTAACTGATCCACAATTATCGACGAATTTCATTACTAATAATTACCAAAATATTACTATTGCAATACCGGGAAACAATAATAAATGTGGCAAGACAGCATCTGCATCCACAGCATCTATACCTATAGCATCTGCTTCTGCATCTACATCTGCATCCACTGCATCTATACCTGTAGTATCTGCATCTGCATCCACAGCATCTATACCTATAGTATCTGCTTCTGCATCTGCATCCACAGCATCTATACCTAAAGTATCTGCATGTGCATCTGCATCCACAGCATTTATACCTACAGCATCTACATCCACAGCAATGAATTCACAGTTCAAAAGTTATATTGCTGAAACTAAATCTAGATCAAAAAAACATCGTAATACCCATGTACTAGTGATGCAGAGTCCCGATCATGATTATACAAGTAATACAGTAGCCGAAGGGAACTCTGCTGATATTAGACCAGAGAACGGAGTAACAACAAATATGAATAATGGAGCTTCTATTTATCCGGTATCATCTAATAAATCTAATAATTATGATACTACTAATGGTAAGTTTTTTGTGAATAAAATTTTGACTACAATGAAAACAAAGAACATTAATACAATTAAAGAAACTAAAAACAATAATGATTTATCAAATATTGTGAATGATACGAATCAACAACAACCAAATGGAAAAAAAGTGGCTACTATTTGTGGGAAAAGTAATGTGATTTCTAAATTTGAGAAATTTCTTCAGTTATTTCCTACTCTTCGATTTCAACTTATATGTAATTATTGTCCAGATAGTTCTAAGCGTTTTACGAGAGAAGAATATGACATTCACATGAAATCTAAACATAATTTCGTCTGCAATTTATGTAACAGTTGTTTACATACTTTAAGTGACTTACAAAAACATAAAAAAAAACATACAGTAAATTCTTAAAATATTTTTCAAAGCTAAAAATTTGAATGACACTTGTATAAATGTATTATGAAATAAAATATTGTAAATATTGTTATTCAATATGTAATCATTTGAAAAGGTTTTATACAATTCTTTTTAATATGATTTTTGATATAACTATTATTTATAAACGTAAACAGATAAGTTTAATTTTATTAATTTCACATTTACTGTATTATTTTTATAATATTTTGTGTTAATATCATTATTGAATTAAATTTTTTTTTTTATATATATATAAAGTGTAAGTAAAACAAATCTCTAATGTAATCTCCAATATGTTTTTATTAATTTTATAATGAAAAATTAATTAAAAAATTGTAATTCATCATTAAATAAAAAAATTTTTTTTTTTCTTTATATAAAGGAAGTACAGTAAAGTCTGTTTTTGTGCGGCGGAGAGGGAGGGACCGCATAAAAAAAAGTCACACTTAAAAAATACATCAATTGTTTACGAAATAAAGCAAAAAATGCTTTCGAACAAATTAAATAAGTAAATTAGACCTAGAAATATTTTAAAAACACTTAATTTTTCATTGTATACATGAAGAAATTTTCAAAATATACATTAAATAATTTATTGCTACTCGTAATCCAAAACGCGCATTTTCTTGTGACGAATTGATTTAATATCGCTTTCGTCGCTTGAAGATACGATTTCAATTGATTTTGGCACCAGAAAGTCAGTGATCAACTTTTGTGACGTCAGTCGATTGTTCAGTTGCTTGTACACGTCACAATAACAAGAAATGCATGATCTTAGCTTTTTTTTTGGAATTTCAAGCTTTTTTAAGAATTAATATCTACTTTAAGAAAATGCGTTTCCAATTTTTTAGAAATCCGGATCCCTGCATATATTTTATCGGCTGTAATAGATTCCGGTTCTTCTTGTCCGACTTCATAATCTATCAAATTATTGATAATGTCACTATCATTGACAATTTCGTCCTCAATTATTTCGTCAAGATCATTTTCGCCGAAGCCCTCTCCGCTGATGTTCAATAATTTCAGATAATAACGTGGACGCGTTTTCGGTTACATTTCGATTAATTACACATTCAAATCAGATCGCTTTCCATCACGAATTTAATGTGTGTTGTTTTATTTGACCAATTGCTGCAGTAATATAGTTTATGCAGTTTAAAATTGAGAATTTTTTCCAAACTTCAGTCAGGCCTAATTCATCGTTCTTTAGTTTTTTCAGAATGTAGCTAAAAGTTAATTTGAGATAATGTTTCTTAAAATTTGCGATTATGTCTTAATCCAGTGATTGTATAAAGTTCCATTATCGCCAAGGAGTCCACGTAGTCAGGGTTTGTCCTTACATGTATATGTACACTGATAGGAAACATTAAACTGGTGCAAACGCCACTGAAATTCATATACCGCATAAAAAAAATTGCATAAAAAAAAGATCGCACAAAAAACAAATCGCACAAAAAAGGATCGCACAAAAACAGGCTCTACTGTATATTATATCAGTATGTATATATTTTCAACTGAAGATATACCAGAATCCTAATTTTTCAGTATGTCAATACTCTCTACTTCCTTCTTGTTACTGCACCAATTTGATATGTGAAAAGTAACGATATATATATATATATATATATACTGTTAAAACATATTGTGTATAAATAATGTAAATATTAAATATACTATTAGATATTATGTATATAATAAGATTATTGTAAAATAAAAGTAATTCATTTGTCAGGTATTTTTAAAATTCTATTGTAATACGTATGTGCGAAAAATGTTTTTCAATAAAAATTTTATTTGATATTTTTGCGCTAGATATCTTTATTCGGCACTTCGTACGATTTTCTGTACAATGGGACGTGTCAAGAACTCGAGGTAGCAATTTTTTTTTCTTTTTTGGTATATCATTTTAAAAAAATATGAATTATATGTGTGCACAAAATTACATGATATAACATTCGAATTATAACATAATGAAAGTTAATATACAAATGAAATATATGAAATTCTGAAAAAGAAATTCATAATTGTTTAGCATCATTCGAGTTCTTGATTTACATCGATCGTTTAGCACAAATTTGCAGAATAACGATTATTTTTCTGTATATTATCTAGATTAATTTAACTTATTATTATGGTAAGAAATCTTCCATTACCGACTGATACTTCCATTATTTATTTTTTTTATTTAAATTGTAGCTTAATAACTACATTTATTTCACATATATTTAGTTTCGTTGATGTATCGAGAATAAATTAAGATATATATACATACATATATATATATAATAACACATACGTATATATAAATATATATATGTATATATACCTGTACGTATGATCTTATGTCTAATTTTAATCATATTTTTTGTTTATATTAACTTTTGGCTGTTCCTTCTTATCATGTCGCACGATCAAAGAGAAAACCAAGTCGCCGTTTGAATAAATAAATAAAAAATGTCAAATTAACAAAATAAAATAAAAAAAATGAAACATTCATTTTTGTCAATTCAATAATTTTTTCTTTTTTTAACACTAGATATAACAGACCAGCCATTTTAATTGAAAATTTCTACCTCATGTAACATTTGAGTTCTGTAAATAATTAAGCATTTTGTTATTTAAAAATATCTATAAATCCATTTGTCTATTAAAATTATTATTGTTAAACATTTTTTGTTATTTTTTAAGAGTAAATAAAGACTGAAAGCCTCAAAAAGTATTTTATTATTTTTATACAACAGTCTCATTTTGACTAATGTAGTAGAAATAGGTATACTGAAAATGGTGGTATATCTAGTGTTAATTTAATTTTTAATTTATTTTATAAATCGACGACGATTCATTCCCATTTTTCGTACAGCATTCAAATTAAGGCGAGCTTATTACTATAATCGATTATTCGACGTTTCGATCATTGTTTCGATAAATTATTAACGATAAATAATTTGATCGAACTCAACGATCGATTCAACGAAGGCATCTTCTAATTGTAAGATAGAATTTTATTTCTTTTCTTTTTTTTCTTTAATCTACGCTTTGGCACGTAATTCACGTAACACAACGTTTCAATCGTGTGTTAATATTGATTTATAAAACGACAATGTATGTATGCGTGTATATGTATGTATGTGTATGTGTRTGTGTGTCCTTCTAGAAAGGGACATTACAGATCCTTATTTGCATATTACATTTAAATCCTTTTACAGTATATTAAATATCATATGCAAATATGGAATGGTGTGTGAGTATGCATATATTTATATATGTATAAGTATATACTTATTAGCTAATTTATTTATACATATGTTATGTGCATATCGAAGCGATTCAATTACAATTTTTGTTCTTTTTTTTATTTTCATCTTTATAGGATTCTATAAATGAATAAAAATTACGTATTTTTTGTTCCTTTTTCTACAAGTGATATCAACTATTGTAAAAATAAAAATTAAAAAAAAAGAGATTGTTCCTTTAAAAGTGAAAATGTTGGTTTACAAAATATTATTTAGTATCAAAATTGAATCCTGATGTAAAAAAAAAAAAAAAGATTATTTTTCCTATGTCTTTCTGTTTTTGTTTACGTTTGTATTCGTAACTTTTCTCTTGTATTTTTATTTTATTCTCTTTTGTAAATATTTGTAAAACGTATTTGTGTGCGTTAAAAACACGCATGTGTACGTTTATAAACGTATATAAAATGAACTTCGAGTGATATCGTATATATGACAATTAAATTTTAGATTAATAACAATAGAAGAGTAATTGATTTGATTAAGTAATTGAGTTAAATACAAAATGGAAATGATTTATGTAGTATGTATATGTAAATATAAACAATTAAAATGAAAATTACATTTTTCTTTTTAATTTTTGCAAGAGGTGTATCTTACATATACATAAACAAAATCGATATCATTCAAAGTTTTATAATTTTGTATATATCCGCCATGATGGTTGTACTATAAAATATAACATTCTGAAAAATATTGAAAATAAATTCAAATTGTTTTGTTTTTTTCTTTTCCTTAAATTGTAAATAACTCATAAATTAATTCATAATTGTAATTATTTCATAAATTAATTCATAAATTATTTGAATTAAATTTTTTTTTGTTTTCCTACGCAACGATCGCACACGAATTATTTTTTTTTTTTTTACGATTATATCTTTTTACTCATTATTATTAATTATTATTATTATTAATATTAATATTATATATTATTAATATAATTATTAATATTATTATTTAGTATTATTAATTATTATTAATACTAATATTATTATAACTATTATTATTTATGTATTTTTTTTTTTATAACGTACGGTGATCGCATTTCTAACCTAAAACTAATATCGACAATAATTTACATACAAATGATTTGTTATTACAAATTTCATGAAGTTATTTAGAAAATATTGACTCATTTGAAGAAAGAACAAAAATTTAATCGAATATGGATATAGCTCGTTTCTTTGTGTAAATATTAATATACGTCTACTCTTATATTTTAATAATTATTATATTAACTACTAATTTTACTTTTTTTTTTCTTCTTCATCTTCTTCTCAACTTCCTCTAACGTTTACTTATTTATATATATATAGATATATTATATATTGTACTTTTTAATACTGGTGTATATGCATTCTCCTTAAGTTTTATATTGCATCATAGATAAAAGTAGAAAAATAATTGGTTGTCCTAGACCAAGTAAGTTAATTCATTTTAAACGTGTATAGAAAGTTTCTTACTTTTTTTTCTTTAAATTCTTTTTGTTGTTTTTTTTTCTTTTTTCTTTCTTTTTTTTTTTTTTGTTTAATATAAAAGATGAAAGTTTATTCCTTTCTTTATATTAGAATTTGATAGTCAAGAATTAGGAGGAGGGTTGGGAGGACGTCATCTCAGTCAATATTATACGTATATATGTAAATAAATAAATATACAGAATATTTCAAAATATGTGAGCACATATGATTTGTATATGTGTGTATGTTGAATTATTTTATTTTAAATCTACTGAAACTATTTTTGAAATTATGTTCAAATATTTTGAAATATCTGTATGTATGAAAACAACAAAATGTATATATATGACACTAACTGTAAATGTGAAACAAAAATTGTTGTATTTTTGTGTGTGCATTGTTTTTTGAATATTTTCCGTTCTTTAAAAGATTTAAAAAAAACACACACACAAAAAATAAAAATAAAATCACRATAAATAAATAAATATAAATTCAATAAAAATTAGTGTATATATGTATATATATATTGTATATATATCTATGTTAGGGTAATGTTAAGATTGCTTACTGTTTTTGGCCATTCCATATTCGTACTATAGTTTGTATATATATATAGTATATATAAAAAACCTATTTCACAAAAGATTCCCTGTTTTATATTTTTTTTTTCCACAAAAAGGGCAGTATTGTTTCGTTATTTTTGATTTAAAGTAAAAAAAAAAAAAAAAACTATGCATCTTAAGTATTTTCGTGCCACGCGATCACCGTACTGTAACCGTGTGCACTAACCTTAACTCTAACTAATTTAAGTAATTCTATGAAAGACACAGTCTTTCACAAGGATTCATCCTTCAGGATTCGATCTCTAATTCTCGAATCCTTTTCTATTCGAATAATACTGATACAGGTTTTTCGACGTCCCACAACAAAACAAAATTAACATATACATAAATATATATATACACATTTATATATATGTTATATTTATATATATGTTAATTTTTTGTTGTTATTTTTATAAGGTTCTTAACCATCCCGCATATATTTATTTTATTAAATAATAATATTATTAATATTAATTTCTAATTATACTGTCTTGTTTTTTTTTCTTCCTCGCATATTATTATTATTATTATTATTATTATTATTATTATTATTATTATTATTATTATATTAAAAATTGTTAAATATATATTTATATATATATATGCGAGAAATGCGTGATCACTTTTTTTAAATTCAACGGGTATGGATACGAACCCCTTGTTGTTTACAAAATTACAGAAAAAAATCTTCGCTCCAATTACCTTTTTTTTTTAACGAGATTACCTTTTAACCTGTATTACTTATTAATTAAAATGTTAATAATTAAATTAATTAAAATTAAAATAACATATAGTAAAAGTATTTATTATATTAAAATATTATTTAAAAATAAAAAACAAAAAAAATATATGATTTATGTATACAGTTAATTAAGTACTAATCACGTTGTAAAAAATAATACATACTGTATAAAATTTTATAAATAATAAAAAAATAAATATAATATCTCGTTTAAAATGTATCGGAGCAATATTTACGCTAATTGTAAGTATATAATTATTGAAATATTATGTATCATATTTATACAGTATTTCGAGATACTAATCATTCATTCATTTACATTTGGGACAATGGTTAGATATAATTTATGACCTAACCTCTTTTCCACGTTATAATCACACCGATTTATCGTGGATATATCTCGTGTTCCTATCTATTTTTATTATTTATATTAATAATATATTAATTCTACAAAACCTTACGATGTATCGGTGGAAAAATATCGTATTTTGTTGTCAAAGTATCATAAATTTGCACCCAATTTAACTGGACGTTCTTTTACAAGTCGCATAATCTTCGCTAATGAAGATAATCAAAAATATTAAAAAAAATAAAAAAAAACAATGGTGATCACATCAATTTTTCCATTTTTTTTAATTCTCAATTAATAAATGGAAAAAAAATTTCGAAATTTTTCTACTTTTTCTTTCCTTTCCTATTTTTTTTTTTTTTTGCAACAAGTTCTATTAAAAAGAAACCGTGCTATTTTTTCTCGTTAATTTACTGACATAAAAAAAGATATTATTTTGACTTACTTTATTACTTGATCCCCAATTAATATGTAATAATTATTTTTTTTTTTCAATTTATATGAAAAATTAACTTTAAGTACAGCGAAGTTTATGTTACCCATCTTACAATGCTTATCAATCTCTCATAACTTTCATTCGATTGTGAGAACGTTAATATTACGTAAGTACACTATTTCTATAATATATTTATGTAATTAATCGATAACCTAACCTTATTGATTAATCATCTATTGCTTAAGTTACATCTAAATTTCGCAAGAACTTATGTGAAGATTGTTTGTTTCTTTATATATATGTATATAAGTGTGTATATGTGTGTGTATTTGTTATAAATGTAAAATATGATATTCTAATTAAAGATCATAATATATATATACAGATGAAATTGGACAGAAGAAAGAGAAAGATAGAGAGAGGGTGGGAGAGAAAAAGAGATGATTTTTCTGTTCCCTACAAATGACCTATTGTATGTAAGTATATATATACATATATATTTAAGTAAATATATATATATATATATATATATATATATATATATATATATATATGTATCTAAAAAGTAGGGCCTATTGTTTAAATAGAATTGTGTTAATTATTCGGTTATCCCTTCTCATTCATTTTTCTCTTCTTTTCCTCTTTTGTACAAAGTTCATTTTTTTTTTCAGTCTGAAAGTTCATAGGATGGATATTGAGAACTAGAGGACAACAAAACTCCAGTCCTATTTGTAATATCTTATACGTAATATCAGTTAGGAGGTACACAGTATGTATTAGATAATTTTATCTGAAATATTATGGTATATATTTTTCATTTTATGAAAAACCAAGTATTCGGGACAATGTTACACTATCTCAAAGGTTTAAGGGTGGGATTGTTATAAATAAAAAAAAAAGTAGTTTATTATTGTACTAAAATATGGATGATGTGAAGTATGTTGAAAAGATGTTTAATGGTTCATCTAACTGTAAAA